TGGGGTTCGGTCAGGGGAGCGTGGCGGATTTGGGGAGGAAGGGGTACGGTGGCGTCGGGGCGGAGCTGCGCGTGACCGTGACGGCGGGGGAGGGTTGGCACGGGAGGGAGGGGGCCGACCTGCGGGCCCCGCGGATCGATTACTGGGTCGGGGCCGTTGCTGGTTCAGCGCGGCACGTGCCTGCCTCTGGGGTCGGGTCGGGTCAGGTCCGGCCGGTCTGGCCGGACCGGATTGGTTCCAGCGGGGCCGTGGGTTCCAGGAGCGGCGCGGCGGAGCAGGTACTACGAAATTTGAATTTTGGTTTTGGGGGCTTTTAAAAAGGGCAGGAGTTCACTCCGATTCGTCATCCCCCACCTGCGTACACAATGGAGAAACAGTATGCCACCACAAAAGGCACGCACTAATGCTTGGTGTGCGTTTGGAAAGAAACGGTGCACGATGCCTCGAAGCACTCGTAGTTTGGCTTTTCTTTTTCTTTTCTTCTTTTTGGATGGATGTAGCTTGTCATTCATGATTCATTTTCTTTAGTAGCGCATGTCTGCTGGCTTGTTGAAGATTAGGAAGATGGAAACTATCTGAACAGAACGGTAAGAGCAAACTACCTTACCAGCTACTCCCTCCGTTTCAAAATAGATGACTCAACTTTGTACTAACTTTAATACAAAGTTAGTATAAAGTTGGGTCATCTATTTTAGAATGGAGGGAGTACAAATGAATACTCGATGATGCTAATATATTGGATTGTCAACCACGAAAAAATAAAGCAACGATACAATAGCTAGTCAAGAAGATTTGTTTTGGTGGGAGGAGGGAGGAAGCTAGATAATAAGTTGGAGCACAACGTATCTTCAAAGAACAGAAGAGAGGGAATTTACTCCTTTGTTTATAATAGAAAAGGGAACTATCTCTATTTTCTAGTTAAGCTATGCTACTACACAATCAAATATACAAACTATTATTGTGATACTTTCAGCATATGGCGGCGTTGAGCTTGCATGCCCATGTTCTTCCACAGAGGCTGACTTTTAAGGCTAGCATTTGGCTCGACCTCTATGACTGGCAATGATCAGGATCTGGCAACATATCATCACAACCTACGTCTTATTTCATCACCACTTCTTCTACTAGTTCATTTTCCTAACGGCTCCATGCTTGTCACAACTAAGAGTATGTTGACTCCATTTAGGAACATGCAACTTTTCACCGCGTGTTATTTTTTCTTTGATTGCTCTTTGTCACTAATCATTGTCCATTGGCGCTTTATGTGTGTTGTTGGCATGAATCGGTTGAGGTCATCCACAATTTCAATTATTCATTTGAAGGTTGCACGTGATATTTATCAAAGTTGATATGAATAAGTGAAACTTTGAAGGATGTGATATCCACTACAAATTTTAGGCGGCTAGAACCAGCTAGTCATCATAACTTTGAACCAAACTCCTAGAGAAATCTAATTGCGCTGGTACCTTGTCTAGCTACTTTACCTTCCAAAGGTTGACTCATCATTTTGTTGTTGTATGTGGTGTGGATTTCTGTCAAGATTGTTATTTGGAAATTTCATGACAGTGCAGTTGCACCTCAATTTTGTGAAGCGAGTGCACACAAATTAGTGACAAAAATATAGAACACTTATAGTATTCATTCTCGTTGTGATTGCCCCAAGTTTAATACCTAATTATTAGGCCAATTCCGGGTATAATAGGTCATTAGGTATTTTTGTTTCCCATTTTATAAAAGGTCATTAGGTAATTTTGCTAGCACAAAACCATGTGAACAACCGAGGTGTTTTTATAGGAGCTATGCATACATGAGTAAATACTAGTGTGACTTAAGTAGTTTCATAAAGATGTAATATCTAGTTGTCTCTTAAAATATGCGGGCTTCAACCTTTAATGTACTCAAGATTGTAGTTTGAATCTTCAACCCCTCTACATGTGACCTATTCCATGTTTTCAACCAAAGCAAAGGATGAAAAATACCAACTCTCGAGTCTTCGACTAAAACAAAGGATGAAGGGGCTGTTTGGATTGTGACTATCTTTGCCATATATTGCCACATGATTTTTGCCACACTTGCCTTAGTTGAGTTGCTCAAATTGTTAGCCACTCTTTGGCTTGCCTAAGGGAATCTTGCCACACTTTTTGTGTCTATGACATGTGGGGTTCACTGCTCATAAAATAATCCTTGCCTTAGGTGTGGCTAGAACCAAACACCTACCTAACTTGGTCAAACTTGCCTAAGGTTAGGCGTGGCAAAGTGTGGCTGGAAACCAAACAGCCCCGAAATATACAAACTCTTAAGTAAATATACAAATGATGAGTTTGTAATGTGTTGCATTGTGCACATTCTTGCCAACAATGTGCTCAACGAATTACTTTATAACTATTTGATTTTGTTTCCCTTTGTTTTGAATACTTCTTATAAAAACTCTTGAGTTGGACTCCACTTATGTGCATATGATGGGCTGCATTTTCCCAAAATTACAGCACCTATTTTGAATGGTTGATTATATTTTATAATTAAATGATTGCAGTTTTGTCTTGATAGGCTTTGCATCCCTTTTATCAACAATGAATCATCCCATATATTATACTATCTATCCAAAGACGTTCTTCCAATCATTATGGGAGCCCCGCCATTTCTCTTGAAGTGGAAGCACATCCTCTAGCTTTTTCCATGTAGTGGAACCTTGCAGTCCTTTTATCGAGCATTGGTGGTTTGGATTAAGATGGAGCTTAGTGATTTTAGTTTCTTGTATGGTTTTTCAAGCTTTTGATTTTACTTTAGGTTTAGCTACAAGGGGCCATAACACGGAAATGTAGAGGATGTGCTTGCACTTTGAGAAGAGCAATGACAGGCCTCCCACAGTGGTGGACAAGAACATCTTTGGAGAGAATGGAGTAAAATGTATAGTGTTGCTCACGATTAACAAAAAATATTGGAAATCCTAGCAAGGAAAAAATGAATGCAATCACTATAATAAATAATCGTAGTCCAAAAGGGTGCCATAAAGTTACGGAAATACAACTCACTCACATGCACACAAGTGGAGTTATTAATGGCAACATGTGCACAATGCAGTATAATTAAAACTCATAGAGCATAAATCATTGTATTGTTCACACACCAAGCCATCAAATAGTTAAGATTTGGTATTTTTCATGCTTTTGTATTGTTGAAGACCCAAGAGTTGTTTTTTTCATCCTTTTCTTTGGTCGGAGATCTGAAATTGGTCAGATGTAGATCGATTTGCAAATTTGAACTGCATTCTTGGGTGCCTAAGACTGAAGTCGAGATATTTGAAGATAGCACAAGCTTTTCCAGAGCTTCAAGAACCTGACGAAGGTCACACTACTATCGACTGATGTATGTTGTCCCACTTCCTATAAAAATACTTTTGTTATTCACTTGGTTTGTTTTTGGCCAAAATGAATGACCCCTTGCAAAAGGAAAAAACAACACCTAACGATCACATATGAAACTTAGGCCAATGGCAGCAACAACTAAATACTATAAGTGATGTTGTGTTTGTCATTAATTTGTGTGCACTCATATAAAGTTGACATAACAACTACAACACCATGGAAAGTCCAAAATAGAGTTTTTGACATAAATATACGACATACGCGAAAACAATGCGAGTAGTCAACCTTCTAGAATGGTAAAATAGCTAGTCAAGGTACCATCACCAATATGTTTTTATGGAAGTTTGGTTAAAGTTTGTAATGGTTGTAGTGGTTCAAGGCGTTTGTCAATTTCTAGATGGGAACACATATCATCCAGAGTTCAATATCAAACTAAGAACACCACACCATACCTTTAATCCTCTCTATTCCCAACAGTGAGTCGGAGCCGACATGGAGGAGAAGGGTAAATTGACGTGTCTATATGACCGCGGATTCTAGGATTTAGACACATGAAAAAGTGAGTCATTGGATCATAGTTAGTCTTATATGTGTCATACGGTAAGGTGTGGTTGTCGGAGACACTACACGTAGCGATGAGTGTTTGAGTGAGAACTTCATCGAGGTATTAAGGCATGGAGATGAATAAGCATAGGAGAAATGCTCTCAATTGAGATGGAGAGTCAAGTGAAGATTATAGGGATTGAACGAGGGGATGGGGATAATGGGAGGAATGGAAGTTGTTGGTTGATAGT